AAAGGTCTAAGGTTTCAAGCTACAACAAAAGGTATGTCATTCAACTAGTTTTTTGTACTGTATATACTCTATAATATGCTAGTTAGGATGATACTTTGGAAAATGAAAGTTTGCATGTATAATAGAGAAAACATAGATCCAAACCATCTAGGGTTGCATGTACACCATAGGAGTGTTAGAATGCTCAAAACTCATCATTCATATGTACTTGCATTGTAAGGAAAAGTTTTCCACATTTTATAAATAAAGAAAAAAAATTTGATTTTATCTTATTTTATATTTCCTTGCAATGACATTTGTGAAAATTAATGTTTGTATGTTTCTATAAGGATTTGATTCTTTCATTTGTGGTAGTGTCAAAATTTACCAAATAAGAAAAGATTCTCATCACCCAAATTTCAGTTGGACTAAAACTTGGAATCATGCAACTTGTGTTGTATGATGAATGAGAACTTTCATCTTTAGGAAATTAAGACTAATTCCTTGTTCACATATAGATGTGAGTCAAGTGTAGGACTTGGGGATCTAGTACAAGTTGTTGTGTAGTGATCAGGTTCACCACAAAGAACGATAAGACTATTCGTCATGATTTACTAAGAGTTTAGTGAATATGATTATGCTTACAAGATTAAGTGTAATTCTGAATCATTGAAAAAGTTTCAATGTATAGCAGAACGAATAAGAAGAATCAATTAGGCAGAAAGATAAAAGTTTTTCCAATATGGAAGGAAATGAGAGGACTTGAGTATCGTGTTTTATGATCATCTTAATGATTATGAAAACAATATCACAATTGATCCTCTAAGGACACATTAGTGCACTTGCATGGCTAAGAAGAGGAATCAGGAATTGTTGAAATAGTTAAATCAAAAAAGGTGAATCATAGTTCGTTCCAAAATCAAGTCTTATAGTCATACTCCGAGATTGTGTCTTGAGTGAAATATCCTAAGTAGGATTATAACACATCATGAAATGTGGAGTAGAAAAGTTTTCTTACTCTTGAACATTTGGAATTGGTAAGCTATGATGTCTTGGATAAGACAAAGAACAACTAAGACCAATTTTATGAAGTCTTTTTCTTGACAAGAATCCACACTAACTATTGAATATTTAGTTGTCAATGAATTTTTCTTGATAAGAGAATCTTATATGTCAAGAGGTAAGTGGGAGTCTTAAAGACCTTGAAAAGCTTCAAGAACTAACCAAGAATAAATCTGTTGTTTATCACTAGCACACGACTTGAGGTTCGTTACCTATCGTGTTGACATATTCTTGTTTCTGTGCCAGTTCCAGTAAAGTTGACTATGCATGTGAGTTTTATGAGTTCTTAATTGTTTGCATAAGACAAAACACATTGATTAGTGAAAACTCATTGATCAGTAAGGGTGATCTGCTCAACAACTTGGAAGACATGATAGGCCCTTGTGCTACCAAGTGGCAAGAAATTAAGAGTGAACATGTTTAATCCATATGAGTTTGATTTTGTCATAGACCTTGTCTTATGATAATGGTTGGTAATGACAGTTTCAAAAGGATAAGAACACATACACCATTAAATATAAGTGACAAAGGTTTCTCTCCAATTCATGAAAATGATTGTGAGGAAACACTTTCACTAAGTAGATTTTGAGAAGATAGCATTTGTGTTAATTGAGTTCTCCTATTCGATCATGATTACGAAATCCCTCTTCATAGTTCGAATATTGAGAAATGACAAATAGTCCGAACATTCGAAACTTATTGCTGTAAGTTATGAAATAGTTTAGACACACAAATAAGCTTTCTAATAAAAGGTGTATAAGCTTAGATAAAGGCTTATTGAAACATCACGTATCACAAATCTGAACTTTGGTAAGAAAGTCAATAAGTATTGATTTCTGGAAGTCCAACTGATTTTTGGGTACATGTCAAAGCTAGTGGGAGCATAAGTGTTATGCTATTAAGTATGTAATTATTTTGCTAGTGGGATCGTAATTATTATACTAAGTATTGCGAGTCAGCACTGTTATTTATAGGAAACAATGTTCTATTTTGCAAAGTTGCAAAGTTTGAAAAATTGTTTCGCTATAGTAAGGGAGAGGATACTTATAATTTATTTCGAATCTAAAAGCTTAGATTGAAATTTTAATTTAGTCATGGACATATGTGAATTTTATGTTGAAATGATTCAACATAAGGAAATTCTATATATGGAAATATTATAACAAAAGACTGGTCAACTATCATGTCTTTATGTAAGACATTATGAATCATGTCCCATATGCTTCAGATATAGGATCGATTGCATATGCTATAATATTCACTCATTCTAATTTTCCAAATGCCTAGGGAATTAAGAGGAAAAAGGACTGGAATGAGATATGACTAAAGTGGTTAAACAATTGTCAAGGATAATCTAAGGTTCGCTAAGGATTGATTGCTTGTAGTTGGAAGTATAGTAATGGATGGACTGTATTGACAATATTATGAATAGACAATATTCTATTAATAATGAGTTGTCATATAGCAAATATGGAAATATTTCCATAATGGGAGTTGGATATTAAGAATCTATGTGAAAGTTAGAAACTTTTGTGCAAGAAGGATGTTCAAAGGAATGTACTTTGAATTTGAGACTTCACTTCCATGGAATTGTTCTTGTGACAATCTCCAAAGGAATACTTTGTAATATCATTGGCAAAGTCTCTATGACTTTTGTACCTTGATATTACAAAAGGAATCTTTGCATGATAGTTTAGAATCTAACACACTCTTATAATGGCAAGAATTAGGTATTCTTACACTAGAGATTTGGAATTGTGAAATGAGCATCATTGAAATATTTTCAATTAATCTATTTCACAAAGTAAGGACCATAGGTAAACATAATGTGCATGCCTGTAGCATGGGATAATTATTGTTTTAATTCAATTATTAAGTTTATTAATCAAAAAATTATACAATGAATAATGTATAATCAATATGGTGATTAAATAATAAGTGTTTTATTTATATTCAAAAGTTTTGAAACCATATTGAATTAAATTATTCTTGTGTTTCACTTTTCATGTTTTGACTTCCTGAATAATAAGATTATTCAAACATCCACAGTCAATCATACTTTGGAAGTAGGTAATGAGGTAAGACTGTCATGAATGGGTTTTTGTAAAATTGTCTAAGGTGTTAGACATAGCAAAAGTTTTCTACAACATTCATGAGTGCTCTTATAATAAGATTTGAGTATTGGATTAAACCCACGCTCATTTAATCACTTCATGGATTTTATCACGAGTGATTGTGAGATAATAATATCTTATATTCTTGAAATGGAGACATATAGTTACAGTATACAAGTCGGTTGCACATTGATGATGTGTAAACGCACCAGTAACTTGGTGTTATAAAACATATTGTTGTGTGTGATTTGATGAGTAAATAGAGCAAGCATATGAGTCAAAGTTTATCCGTTCCTTTTACCCTAAAAGGGATAAAAGTGATATTTGTAGGCCCCTCGATGATTTAGTGATGACACCTGAAGAGTTTGGCCAAGCCTGGACTGATTTGACTTGTTTAATTAGTCAGTCGTCATAAATTGGAAATCGGGAAACAACACATGGACAAGGAGAATGATTATAATCCATGTCTCATGTTCATACGATATCTGGAATGGAGGAATATATGATCCTTTATCTAATGGACACGTCATTGACTAGGTAAGAGTTCGACAATGACTTTTTGAGAGCTACGATTGCTAGTTGGTTTTTAAAGTCGTACCTGCAATTATAGTTATTAGACTTATCCAAGTGGGAGACTGTTGGATTAGGTGTCTAAGACCATAACTATAATTGGTATGTACTTGACCCGAGAGTAGCATGATCCATTTTGGGTTGCCTTCACCAGAACAATTTGATAGGATGGATATTGGAGAAAGAGGTTAATTGTGATTTATTAACATACTGTATGTATAATATATTAATTGAGAACTCATATTATTTAATTAATATTGGTCAAGAATTACTTTGGAATTAATTTAGTGATCAAAAGAAATTAATAAAATTAACGGAGAATGATTAAGTAAATCAATGATACTTATAGTTTGGGCTAATGATCCATATTGATTATGGTGGACTAAATCTTTGTGGAGTCCATGGAGATTTAGTCCAAAGGGCTTATGGTATGGTTTATTAGATTAAAGGCCCAAGGAAGTGGATTAGGGTTTACAAGTTGAAACTCTACGAATTCCAAACTATATATTGAACCCCTAAGCTTGCAAAAATGGCCCCAAGACGCCAAGGTTAAACCATGTCCGACTTTGTAAGCTTCATAGTCTCTCTCTCATTATCCTCCACTTGTTCATTGTGTTTGTGACTTGTTTGAGGCATCACACTTGAGGTGCTAAGCTCTTGAAAAGCCAAAATTCTACATGCTACAACTAAGAGGTAATCTTCTAACTAGTTTTTATGTTTCAAATATCTATGTTGTATGCTAGTTATAGGTTTCATGCTTTGGATAATTTTTGTTGCATGTATAATTAGAGAAAACTTAGATCCAAAATATTTAGGGTTATATGTGCATCATAGGAGTGTTATAGTACATAAAACTAGGAGTGACAACTCTAGACCCAACCCGTCATTGACCCAACCCGAAAATAGACGGGTTCGGGATGAGATTTTTGACCCGAATATATATATATATATATATATATATATATATATATATATATATATATATATATATATATATATATAATCTAAAAAATGATATATTTAATTGTTAATGAAATTTGATTTCCATCCGTATTCATAATATTCTGTATCATTGTATTCCTTCCGTATTCGTATGTAACTAATCTGCGTTTGCGATTCATTAATCAAAAAAAGAAAAAATACATGTTTTTATTTTCACAAGTCAAGAACGAAGAACACATCCACTTTCTTTGAATGTTTTCATTTTTCATTTTTATTTGGATGTTTATTGACTTTATGAATTTATGTTGAAAATCTTTTTCTTTATGTTACTTACTTTAATCATTTTATGAATTTATGTTGAAAAAACCCTATTTTTTAAAAAGTGTTGCTTATTTATTAAACGAGTTATATGGGTTGGGTTTGACCCATTAACTTATGAACCTGTGAACCCATATACTTGAACAAGTTATATAGGTTGGGTTGGGTTGAGGTTTCCAACCCACCAACTCGTGACCTACCAACCTATCAACTCATATATTATATGAGTTGGGTTAACTTTATGTTTTCTCACCCACCAACCCGCCAACTGTGATCCGCCAACCCGAATCCAATCTAGTTGCTAGACCTACATAAAACCCAACAATTATAGCCTAATGGTTAGGTTGCATAATTCCACAGTGGTCCATAACTAAAATCTTTTAGTTTATGACTGCTAACCTGGATAAACATTGACACAAAAACATAAATACCAGTAAAAAAAAAGTAGAATAATATAAATACTATGCACCTAGATTGAATTAATACATAAGCCGGTGTTTATGAGTAAACATTGCACATGGATTCAATAGTTATTTGTTATATAAGTCTTTGTTTATAACTAAACATACGCCCCATGTACTACAAACTGATATACTCAAACATGTATCGAATTGTTTACATAAGTCTTTGTTTATGACTAAACATATGACCCATATACTACAAACTGATATACTCAAATATGTATCGAATTGTTTTATTAACCGACTAAGAGTGATAAACGCAATGACTACCCGCCATATACAAAAAAGATGTGTCAATGTCATACATCATGTCTAATATTTGACTATTCAAGGATGATAGGATGAATGGTGTCTCTAGTGGCGGATGAAAGGTTTTAGTGGGGTGTATGCACCCCACTTTACATATAATTACCCTAAAATTCATATAGATAATCTGTAAATGTTTTTTATGTTTAATTCACTGACCCAAGAAGATTATAGTAGCTGTACTCATACACCCCATTTATGAATATGGTTGGATCCGCTTCTGCTCCATTATGGGTATTGATTCATCGTTGTTGTAAACACCTTAATTGGTACGTTGAGTTTCCTTTAGAGTATTCTTTATGATCTATTCTTCTTATTCTCCATGATTTTAGTGAATGCTAATTGTGGCCTCGAAAACCTCTTGAGGATCTACTTCTTATGCATTGACTTCCATAATGGTTTTTAGAACGTGTTACCAAACCATTAGTTCAATTCTATTTCATATTTTGAATTGTAGTAATTTTTATTTGCTATATTTCCTTTGATTACGGTTTACCGTTTTATTAATCTTATACACATTTGGGACCCAACAAGTGGTATCAAAGCATACCTGGACTTTATATTCGAGGTATGTATATCTTATTATTTATTATCTTTTTTATTATGTAAGTAGTTGTGAGATCTGTATATTATACGGGTTGATTAAAACAAAATGTTAAATAGAAACGATTAAATGGGAAGTGTATTTGAATTTGAAATCTGAAATAAGTGAAAATTATAAGAAAAAAACATCCGGAAAATAAATAAATAAAAATTATGTGTTTAGTTGTCAAACCCATATATTAAACGGGTTAATTGTAACAAAATATTAAATATAAATGTTTAAACTGTAAATTTATTTAAAATTAACATAATTAGGTTTATAGAAACTAAATTAATGATATATTGAAAATGAAAAATAAAGTAAATAACAAGTGGAAAATAAATTTATGTCAAAATCATGACAAAATGATATGTGGTCAATTGAAAAAAAACTACATCATTTTTATTTATCAGTGTAGACTTGTGTGTTTAAGGTTGGACGGTATAGATGAGAGCTTTCCCTCTCAGCTGAACATTATCCATTGACTGAGGGAAAGGTGGTGAGGAAAAGAGATGAATGAGTCAATTCCTTCACTCTCTCTCCTATTTCTATTGACTAACTTTTTTTTTTTTAATTTAATTTTATTATTATTATCTTTTTTAATATTTATTAAATTATATACCTACTTAAAATTATAAAAAAAATATATCAAAACTTATGGTTTTTAATTCCTTACAAAATAATATAATATTTATAGGAAATACTTTAAAAAAAATAAAAAAATAGTGAGAGAAGTTTCTCACTTATTCCTTGAATCTTAAGTGAGAAAAAAGAAAATAAGAAAAAGGTGGTTTCACCCACAAAAAAATGAGAGAAACTCTCTATTTATACCCTCGGTTTAATATGTTTTCAAAAGGGCCAATTAGTCTACTTCTTTTAGTCAAAATAGCACATGGTAGTGTTTGGTAAGGGTATGATCATGAGAAAACAATATTAAATTTACCATCTTGTCCTTCATACAAAGTTATAGTCTTATAGAAACTAAAAAGTAATCAACATAATCAATATCTCTGAAAAAATGACCAAGAACAAGAGCCCTAAAATGTATTAATGTGACTGATCCAATTACCAGGAAAACGCCGAACAAAATTGAAGTTTAAAAACACCCAAATAAAATATTTTTCTAAACAAAAACAATTCAAGACCCTAAATTAGAAAGATGATAAGAACTCATTACAATTTAACTTTCCAACCAATCTGCTCTTTATCAAACTTTTTTTGTATTTTATTTTATTTTAAATATAAGGACATTTATTTATATGAAATTTTAGTTACAACAATCATTGCCTCGGACATAAACCAATCCCTAATGACATCAAGATGTTTAAAAACCAATACATGGTACAACTTTTACAACAGAAGTTACTATGACCTGATTGCAATGAAAAAACTTAATAGCTTTTTAAGAATCTTCCCAAGTTTAAACGAACCCAATGACATCAAGAACTTACATAAATATACAATTTTGAAAATTTATAGCTATTAACAAATCTAAGCCCAATCCTTAATTACATCCTTTAAAAGTTAATCGCATACCAGTTTATAAAGTAAACTCTGACTTATATCTTATTGTTTCTTCATGTTTATTTATGGCACAAAATAATCTCTAACCTTGTTTTCAATGCATTGATCATCAACAAAAAACCAAGACATAAATGTGTAAGAGTCCGGTGATAAGGTCATAGAATAGGGCCTACAAAAAGACATGTTGAAAGATCAATACAAATTACACATTTTAAGTAATCTAAAAAAATAAGACTATGCATAAGATTAAAATGGTGCATTACCTAAAGAATAACTATATATGTGTCTATATGTAAATACCAATGCCTCATTTTGATACCAATGTTATTAGGTCGTCATCAGTGATAACCTGGGAGATAAAGAAGGCAAATAGTAGGGTTAATTATATAACTCACATTCAAGCATAGTTAAAAAAAATGATTTCCTTGGTTAATAAACATTTGATATAGATACCATCAAAAGAAAGAGTTTTCACTACCTTTTTCATTTCAGCTACGGATTTAAAGCGCCAAAAAAGATCATTAAGTTCATTTCCCTCAAAGTTATAACCAAGCTGGAGAGAAAATAACATATGTTTACTACATAACTAAAAAAGTTGCTCGTTTTTTTTATCAAAAGATCACAATATCAACATTGCACTTTACCTCAAAAAGTTTAGCTTTTAGAGCATGGCGACCACTGCATAACAATATTTACAAATCATTAATGAATGAATAGGAAGTGATGATATTAAAGAATCAGATGCTAACAATAATCATGTAGCATATAAATATATGAATTACCAACGTGTAATTCAGTATACCTAAGTTTTCCAAGTGTAAGTCCAGACTCATTAGATCGGTGAAGTCCTATATCTTCAGGAGACATGATTTCATATGTGCTTTTGTTCTTTAAAACCCCATCCTACAAAATAGAAAACAATGTCATGCATGTACATGTCTAGTAATTTAAGTAAAAACTATTAAATCAAGCCACATCATGAGTAACATGACATATATAATTAATGTTATATAAAATATAACCAACCCACCTGATGGATTCCACTTTCATGAGCAAAAGCATTAGCACCAACAATAGCCTTATGTGGCTGCACCCTTAGTCCACTGTACTCTTCCACCTATAAATACGACAACGCATGTTCAAAGTGAACCTAGAAAACAATTGTTTAAAAATATTATTAGATGTTATAATTAAGGTTTAACATATACCATCTTGCTAGCCATAACAATATGTTCTGTTTTAATGTCAGTGTAAAGACCACCCAATAATTCTCCTTTGCTTTTTATAGTCATTACCACCTATCATAATTACAAATAATACATTATCAACAACAAGCAATTTAACAATGGAAGAACACTTGATTATTGTAATTTTGTAAATTACACTCACCTCTTCAAAAGAAGCATTCCCAGCTCTCTCCCCGATTCCATTTATTGTTACTTCTAATTGTCTTGCACCCGAATAAGCTCCCTGGAATTCGAATAGGTAAGCATATGAAGCTATGAATCAAACTTTAATATAAAAACATAATGATTAATATATAAGCATATGTACCTCTAAAGTATTGGCAGTAGCAAGTCCTAGATCATTATGGCAATGGGTAGAAATGACGACATTCTGAATTCCAGGGGTGTTGGCTTTTATGTCAGCAATAAGCTGACCAAATTCACGAGGCCAGTTATAGCCAACAGTATCTGGAATGCAAAGAGTAGTTGCACCCGCTTTGATTGCCTCACCCAGGACCTCGTATAAAAATTCTCTATCAGATCTGTTAGCAAATTAACATAACGCAGATTACAGAGATGGACAACAACAACCCCTAATCCTAACAAATTGCACAATTCAGAAAGGAAGTGGAACAAAACACAAAAAAGAAATTGGGCTACATCATGGATTTATGGTCAATTCACCTTCGTTTTGAGCATAATCAACATGCTTGTTCTTCAAATTATACAAGCATACAACCATGAGTCGTATATAACGATCTACCTAACTAGGTAAGTTGACGGGGGATGTGGAGTTTTCCTTGGTGCTCCTCGTCGAATTGAGTGCGGACCAGAATGGTGGAGGTGCATGGCGGTATAGTCTTAGGTTTATGGTCGGACTAGTAAATTACACTAATGGTCCTTATGGTTTGGTCCAACATCTGAGTTTGGTCCCTATTTTTTTTTTTTGTCATTCAACCACCCTTTACTATTTTTTATCACGATTTTAGTCCATGCCATACCCAAAATCGTACTAATTTTTTTATTTACTTATTATATATTTATAATTTTTAGCTTTTAAAATAAAATAGACCCTACCCCCACCTCACCCACTTAAAACCCTAGCCCGATACATATATCTCTGTGTTCTTAAGCTCTCTTGAAGACCTAAACTAATGGACTACGCCTCTAGAAGTTTTTGGTCCGTCGTAGACCATCTCTACGAGTGTAAATGAGTCGACATACTTGTGATTGACTCGTTAAAAACTCTATTCGAACTCGAGTTAAACGAGTCTGAGCCGAGTTCGAACTTAGTTTCAAGCTCATTTATTAAACGAGATAAAGCCCAAGCTTCATCTGCCAAGACTGATTAGACTCACGAGCCTAAACAAACCTATTCATAATAAAATAATATAATTTTTAATTTTCATTTTGAATATTAAATTATAATTAAATAATTAATGATTGAATATCTAATAATTAATGATAAACGAGCCTTTACCGAGCTTAAAAATACAAATGACCTTGATATTTGACTATTAACCAAGCCGAGTTCGAGCTGAGCATTCGCTCGTTTAAGCATGCCTGACAAATGAGTTGAGCATGAGCCTTTTAAGTCATCCACAAATCGAGCTCGAACTTTGAAACTAAAACTCGAATCAAATCGAGCTCGGCCACATGAATTTTAAACGAGTCGAGCCCGAGACTACCTGAGCTCGAGTTTGGCTCGGCTCGTTTACATCTTTGCAGGGATGAAGCTTATGTAAGGCCAGGAGGGGTTGTGGCTCATCCTGTTTTTTTCATAACTAACCCTTAACTATTAAATTTTTTACATATTAAGCCTAAACCTATAAATTTTGACTTTGCCCCCCCCCCCCCCCCCAAAATCAATACTTCAAGCTCCGTCACTGCATCCTTGACCAACTCTCCACCACCTTCTTCGTCAAACAACTTCTTGTTGCCAATATGGAAATGTAGATTGATTTCTACAAAATGGGTCCACCACTGAATCCGCTAAAGGTCACTCATCACATCTTTAGACCACCATCTTCATCACTAATGATACCGATGGACCATTAGAAAAGGGTTGATGATGTTTGTGGTGACGGGTGGTGATTCTCGGGATGGAAGGGGATCTCAAGTGAAAGGGGGTGATGAAGGGTGGTGGTTGTCGGAGGTGAAAGGGGGCGTTGGTTGTATTTGTTGAAGGTGAATTGGGGTATAGATAGTGACCATTGGTGATATCTGTAACGCCTGTGTTTCTGGGCTTGCCATTTTTAGCAATGTGATAGTCTAGGTTAACCTTTGTAACCCGTTTTGAAATAATAGAAGTGTATTATTTGAGTATTATGTGTTTTGTGCTTAATTGCTTAATTATGTGGTTTGATTAATTAAGAATAAAAATAAGCGTCAAAATTGAAGTGTATAATAAACTTGATATCTTTAGATAATGTTGTAGTAGTTGAAACAAGGTTTCTGAAGATATAAAGAATGTCGAAATCCGAATTATAACGAAGAAGTTATGACCTGTCGAAGTTTCGCGACAGAACCGGCAACGCTGAATGACGTAAAAAGTGGAATTTACGTTAGAGCGATATTTAGCCTTAGTGATCTAAAAGAGAATCGAAGATCTCGTTGTTAGTATCAAAGCGATAAAAAGTTAGGCGAGAACGGACGTCAAACGAAGAAGTTATGAATTTATAACAAAATTTTCTGTACCGGCCTATTAAAAATAGATAATAAAAATAAAGTCAAAATTAGCTAACGGAGTCTAAACAAAAGTTGTAGAGCGTAGTCTCACCTTCGCGTGGATATAAAGAACGTCGAAAACGGAGTTCGTATGAAGGAGATATGAATTTTCGAAGTTTATTAAATAATTAATTATTAAATACCAACCTTATCCGAAGACGAGTCACCGGACTCATCTGGAGTACGCCCAGCGTACTCGAGTACACCCCGCGTATAGCGAAGATGTCGACATTCGCACTCGAGGACTTCGGATGACGCATGCGCTTACGATTTCGGAGCAGTACGCCCCGCGTACGAGGAGGTTTCAGCCTTCTATAAATAGGATGCGAGGGTTCCAGATTTATTTGCTAATTTCCTCTCGTTTTTGTGCCGAAGCTCTGCGCGTAAACCCCCGAAGCCACCCCGAAGCCCCGGTAATATTCCCGAGTCCCGAAGCAAGTCCCGAGATCCCGAAGATCCCGAGAAGTGCGGTTTCCGAGCCGATGCTCTGCTTGCGAGAAGTTCGATTTTTGTGAAGATCTTCCAGATCTACCGAAGAATACTACTTCTACAAGCCGTAGTGCTGTCTGATCATCTTCTGATCAAGTCAGTGTGTAGTTACTTTCTTCTAACGCATAATTATGAAGTATTTTATACGAAATACGTGTTATGTGTATAGTTTTGTTGTTATGTACGTGAATGTATATTCACTCTCTTCAATCTCATAGATCTGATTTGTTTTCTATGAAATACGTGTTATGTGGGTTTGTCTCATCTGTTATGTGAAATATGTATTTGATGAAAATGCTATACAGGTTTTAAACTATGTATAAAAATATATATTTTTATCTACTAATATGTTGGGTAGAACATGGGTAGATAGTTGGTGTGTAATAAACAGATGAGAGGCCTCGATGTTGTTTTTGTTGTTGACCTAGTTATTCAGCGGAGTATGGATAACGACCACATACTCCTTCTAGATAGTCTCGTGGAACGCTAGCAGGTTCATAACCTGTAGGTGTTGTGAACGATGTGTTCACCGGTGTACTCTATCCCCCTCATGGTTGCCTTAGGATATCTATTGTTGAGGAAACCCTTTAGCAGTAATGCCCGTCCCGATGAAAATCCTAGATTAGGTCCCTTGAGATAGATGTTGTTTTAGGGACGTAAAGTGAGGATAACGGGAATGGGTAATCGGGATAGTGATTGGTTGGTGAAATTAAATATAATTTATTTATTGTGGGTTGAAAACCCTATGTGCTCACCAGGCTCCCAAACCTGACCCACTCAGTTTTATTTGTATTACAGGAAGTGACGCAAGGACGTAAGATGGATGAACCATCAAGTTGTTTTGTTTACAAGTTTGTATATGTATATATTTGTTGAATGACTTGTAATATTATTGTTTATGCTTAACGGTCTGTATCGGAACATGACACCCCGGGTTTTAATTATATAATGAAAATGCATCTCTTGATGAAATGCTTTGGTAAACATTGTTTTATCATGTTTTGTTTTTTGGAACAAATTCCGCAATACTTTCAAATCAAAAGGATTTACTCTGAAATTATTTTAAAAAGCATAAATGAAAATCGGTCTTTTTCTGACCGTGATTTTGAGGATGTCACAATATTTGAACAAGAATGGGTGAAAGTGGGGGTACAATTGGTTGGTACGTACCAACAAAATAAATAAACAGTAAAAAATATAAACAAATAAAAATACTAAAAAAATACAAAATAATATTTATAAAAACAATATAATTAGTTTATGTCTGACAAAGATGAAACTTGCGGCTGGTTCAACGAAAAACAAAGCACAAGGACCAGACAATGTTATAATTGAACAAAACATAGAGATCGGAACATAAGGACAATTCTTAAAATTTAAATTTCTGGTTTTCTTATTTAAATTGAATATCGTGTGGTTCGTTTTTTTTTTATTTTTTTTATATATATTATAAAAAGACTTTATGGAATCAAAAGTTTAAAACAGTAGCATTGGAATATGGATGCGACCACTTATAAGTTCTCTAACTCTTTTTATGCCATGTATAGTATCCCACTTTTTATGCCGTGTATCACACGTTTATTATATTTTCATAATGATTAACCAAATTAATATGAAACATAAACACAATAATTGTATCGTTGAAAGTTAACTATGAAAATTGAAAAGAGATATGATACTATTGATATTTCGTAAGTTTATATAAGTAATACACTTTATAGAAAAATGTACCTTCCGGCATCTTCCGGGCTAAATTGAACGTCATTACAGCCCAAACTTCGAGCGTATGCAACCATGGTCCTCGCTTTTTCAATCACTTCTTCTTTCGACATCTTTAACTTATACTTCATATGAATCTCACTTGTAGCTATAAAAATATGTATCCTTGGGAATTTGGCATATTTCACCGCTTCCCATGCTTTATCGATATCATTCTTATTGCATCTTGCTAGACCACAAATAACTGGTATACGACCATTTTGATTAACCTCTGCATTTCCAACCTCACATGCAATCAACTTAACAGTTTCTAGATCGGCTTTGTTGGAAGCAGGAAACCCTACTTCAATGATGTCAACACCGAGTTTTGCAAGTTGATGAGCTATGTCAAGCTTTTGCTTAGGGGACATAGAGGCACCCGGTGCTTGTTCACCATCACGTAGGGTGGTATCCAAGATGCGTACTCGGTTAGGGTCTTGAATATGGTTAGGGATGTAGTTTTGACTTTGGCAACATAGGATTACGTTTGAGTTTGATTTATGGGGTCGGGTTTTTGAGGTTTTGAAATAAGAGTGGATCGCAGTTGGATAGGAAGTGGTGGTGGTGGTGGTAGCGGTTGAAGAAAGGAAACAAGAGATACGTATGAGAGAGGCTTCCATTGATAGCTAGTTTGAAAAGTAACAAAGGTTTTCTGTTGTGTTCAGTGTTTGATGGAGATATATGCGACCATAGAAATTTTCTAATTGTAGCAAAAGGCGTAGGGCTTTGTATCATTAATATATAGGCCAAATTGGGCTACGTCGGCTTTCCCCTAATTAACAATTTGTATTGGTCTACGTTGACTTTGTTTAATAATTAGAATCAACTTCAACTAAATAAATAAAAGGAACTTAAGATAAGATATAAGGAGCGATTCAAATATGATAACAGCAAGCAAGTGGCTTGAAGCATTCAAAGTTCAAACGATAGTCCAAGGTGGCTGTGCCTTCACCTACCAACTTATGGTAGTCGCAATGCAATAACTCGGATATTTAAGGAATTTAGAAAAGCATATCTATTACTTACGATATATAATCTTATTTAACTAAACATCGTCAGATTAAAGTTTCGTGACATAGTAAGAAGGGGGTAATTTGACGCGGATCGCCGTTTGCGAGCATTACCAGCGACCCCTTTAGCGGCGACAGTGGGCAATAGCGGCGACATGTAACACGTCAATTACATGTCGGCGTTATTATCCAGTGTCGCAACTAAATGTGTCACCGGTAATGCCAAGATTTCTTGTAGTGTTAATTTTGGACTTCAAAAATAAAGAATCTGATAACAATTAATTATGTGAGCCAATTTTTGTATCCTTAATAATCTTGAAAACAAAGGAATAGATAATTATTATTGATGATTGATGACGGATTACCCGTTCATTAGTTTTTAATAACAGTACAATAATTAGCTCACATAATTAGGGGTGTTCGGTAAAAAGAAATGAAAGGAAGAAAATGGAATTATTTCTATTTCCTTGTTTGTTTAAGGGTGACAAATTAAAAAAATGAGAAATGGAGAGAAAAGAAAAATATACCCAAAACCAAGAAATGAAAAAAGAGGCGGATAGTTAGAAAAAAAGTGGAGAAATGACGAAAGAAAGGGTCGTCTTTCTTGTCTCCCACTTTTGTAGTCCTAACACGTCCACTCCATCTCCGGAGTTTTTGGCATCATTTTCCGATCGACTATTAGTTTATAACCATGAGAACCATAGTTACAATATTAGTTAAATATTTATAGTAAAAATTTAAAATTATTAATCAATTATTTTAAATAAATTATTAATTAAGAGATCTTTTAGTTATATAAAATTATAATCATTGATTTAAATAAATATGTAAAATTATATCAGTTTATAACTTGTATTAATTTTATTTTAATTTTTATTCTAATGTTATTAATTTAAGAGTAAATTACACGAATCGTCCCTATGGTTTAAGGTAATTTGCGTGTTTAGTCCCTAACTTATTTTTTTAACTCGGAAGGTCCCTACTGTTTGTTTTTGTTACGCGTTTGGTCTATGTCTTACCTAAAAAGATTATTTTTCCCTTGATTTTTTAATTTAGTTAGATAAACACTCTCCCAAACCCACCCCTCTAATCTTACGTTGCTTATCCCACTATTTTTTCATATTTAAATAATAGTTTTTTAGGTAAAATAGGGACCAAGAGCGTAACAAAAACAAATAGTAGGGACCAAGCGCGTAACAAAAACAAATAGTAGGAACATTCCGAGTTAAAAAAAAAATAAGTTAGGGACCAAATATGCAATTTACCCCAAACCATAGGGACCATTTTTATAATTTACTCTTAATTTAATGTAATTAAAGTGAGAAATTTAAAATTTAAAATTTGAAATGAATAATCAATAGATTGACAAGTGGTACGCATTAATTAGGAGACATAATAAGGTGACACATGATAAAATGAGAATAAAATATGCATTAATTAGGAGCCTTAATAAGATGATACATGTCAAAAGGAGAATAAAATTATTTTTTTATTAGAATATGAAGATGAAGATGACGTTTAGGAACCGAGACTCAGAGAGCCGATGTAAAATCAGATGCCTCTGAGGAAACTGATTAGAAATGGGTACAATAGAAGTGTCATGGAAGCAGCTTCTTCTCAACGCACTACAGTCTAATTCCCTACTCATATATGATAGATATATCCTTAACACATCGTTTTTCTTTTTTCTTTATCCAAACACCTTCTATCGCAATAACCCTGCTCTCAATTTTTGGTTTTATAGGCAATAATAGGATTCAATGGAATAATTCACAGTTTATAATTTGTGCGTCTTTGAATTCTAATCATGTGCTTGCTTGTTTGAATTCAGTCATGTGTTTGATAACTTGTACTTGTTTGAATTCCAAAGGGGTAGTCGCTACCTATTTTGGCATATTAGTGCAAAATGGAAACCATTTTTAACTTGATATTCTCGTTTATAATCTTTTAGGTACATATTAAAGTTAATTGTGTTCAAAATTGCTATATCATTTCATTTGTAGGGAGTAATGTAAAGATTGCTTTATATGGAATCACCAAAGAGACCTTATTTTGTTTGAGTTGATGGAAGCTAAAAAAGAACCCAATTAATTATTGCAAGAGTCTTAACTAACAAATAACATAATAAACAATTTTGTTTGAGATGATTGAAAGTGTTAACCAATATGAAAATGAACTTGGGCATATGCGACAAAATACCCCATACATAAACATACATAACAGTCAGAAACTAAGATGGGTCTATTTCACCCTTGAATCTATATCAACTTTTTCGGTATCTTTCAATCGGTACTGGGTCTATTTCACCCCTGAGTCTATTTCAACTTTTTTGGTATCTTTCAACCGGTATTGGGTCTATTTCACCCCTAGGTCTATTTTAACTCATTCGGTATCTTTCAACTGGTATTGGGTCCATTTCACCCCTACAACTAAGCATACAAAAACATCAACAAGAGTAATGAAGACATCAAGCACATACGTGGATATTAGCAAGTATCACAAAGACAACTATCATTCTACAAACATAATTCAATGGGCTGGCCTTGGTGACTTCGACCCAAGAGTACAGTGAAGAGACTCACCTAACAAACGATGATCAACTGCTACCGCTCCTACTGCCGCGAAAATAGATTCTATATACCTCCTATACAACCATACAAAGTACACCTTAGCTTACCTTCCAAAACTAGGGGATTGACCAAAAGTCAATGCAAGTCAAAATTCAATGGTCAAAGTTGACTCGTCACTTCATGGTCATCCTTAGCCACGTCGTGGCCCTCAAACAATAAAATGAATGTGTTTCCCTTAGTCACCACGCCGTGGGCATTGGGTTCAAAATGGGTTAAGTTGCTTCCTTTAGCCCCAAGAGCTCCAATGCTCATATCTAGTCCGATATATGGTCTAGAAGGATAAAATTTCATACTTTATCCATTAAGTTCACCCAAAGGAACAAAATCTCAAACCATACTTTCCATAATTTTAAAAACGGCTAAGACTCAACCATTAAGCACTTAATCCTAAAGGTCCTTAGTCTAACTTCTCCAGAATGCTCGTAGGTGTTGGATAAGGTGTCTAAGTCCATAACTATTTCTGGTAAATACTTGACCCGACCCGGCATGGTCCATTTGAGTTACATGGCACCATGCAATTGGATAAACTAAATGAGAGAAATAACACATATGGTTTATTAATATATTATAAGTTATAATATATTAATAATATTATTTAATTAGTTTTGATCAAGAATTAATTAAGTGATCAAAAGAATAACTAATTAAATATATGGGTAGATTATATGAATCTTCCATATCTTATATAGTGGGCTAAAATGCTCCATGGATTATCAAGTTGGGTTCCACCTATAAGGTGCTCCATGGATGCTCCATGGAGTTAACCCATGGATTGAGAAATGAAGATTCATGTTACATTAAGGTTTTACCTAATGCAACACACTATATAAGGACCATATCTCTCCCCAAAATCGGTGACACTAGTGCTACACAAGAGAAACAAGAGGGCTTGGCCGATTTTGAGTGTGTTAGAGTATTCTCTCAAGTTTATACTTTGCATTTGGTGTTGTGTGAAGCATTTGAGGCATCACACTTGAGGTGCTAGGCTCACAAGGTTTCAAGGAACACTTTCAACAACAAGGTATGTAATTCTATCTATTATATACAAAGATAATTGTTCCCCATGTATGCTAGATTGGATCATAGCCTTGAAAATCAACTTTGCATGATAATTAGACAAACACAGATCCAAGGTTATTAGGGTTGCATGTACACTTAGGAAGTGTTAGAATTCTCAAAACCCAACAGTGGTATCAGAGCCTAGGCTTGCTTGTTTGATTTTTGTGCAAACTGCTTGAAAAATCGAGTTTTCTGCTTTCTGCCCGTATGAACTCGCCGAGTCCATGGGGGGGGGGGGGGGGACTCGATGAGTCCATGACCAAATGCAAGCTACTTGTCAAGTGAGTTCATGCACTCGACGAGTAGAGGCTGCAGTTTTCAGAATTTTGGTTCTTGTTGTTGGAAATGGACTAGGAATATTACCCTAAACTGTTTTGGTATTTTAAAACTTGTTTTAGTTGGAGTAATGTTCATGTTAATCCATTTACAACAACAAGTTATCAAAATTACAAGTTCGAAGCAAGTCCCGAAGCACCGGTATCATTCCCGGAGCCCGAAGCACCGGTATCATTCCCGAGTCCCGAAGCAAGTCCCGAAGCCCGAATATCCCGAGAAAAATAGTATTCGAGTCGAAGCTCTGCCCGTGTGAAGCCTGGTTTTAAAGGAAGCATCCCGATTTCGTCGCAGAAGATTATTTCAAGAGCCGTAGTGCTGTCCAATCATCTTCTAATCAGGTGAGTGTGTGGTTACTTTCTTTTAACACATAAATATGAAGTATTTGCTTTGAAATACGTGTTTTGTGTATATATATTGTTGTTTATTTGAGATGAGTGTGGAATGGATGTTTTATTTAGTTTTTAAATGAGTTAAAATTGTATATGTATTTTATATCTACAAATATGTTGGGTAGAACATGGGTAGATGAGATAGTTGGTGTGAGATAAAAGGATGAGTTGGATTAGACCAAGAGGTTAGTTTTAGATCTGGGTGTATGGATCTGGTAAAGAGATAAAACTTGTTATTAGTCCGGGAGTATGGATTAAGACTAAGTTAATTGTCCCTAGTCCGGGAGTAAGGATTGGGCATAGTTATTGATCCGGGTGTATGGATCAGATCAGGATTAAGGTATAATTAATTGTCCCTATTCCGAGAGTATGGATTTGGTAAAATTATTG